GCTAACCATTTTTGCTTGCTGTTTATGTTTATCAATCATATGCTGTAAACTGACCTGTACAGACAATAAAACAATGTTTAAGGCAAAAAATTACAGCATGAGTCGACACATACCCACATGGGTCGACTCATTCTAGTGAAAAAACAGGGTATGAGTTGACACGTGGCCTTATGCATCGACTCATACTGTTGTCTAGGCCCCAAAACAGAAGGATGGAAGGGGCATGAGTTGACACAAAACATGTATGTGTCGATACAAACAGGAGCATAAGTCGACACATCCCATTATGCATCGACTCATACTGAGTTGATTTGGTTTTACAGGGGAAAGGAAAGTTATGTGTCGATGTATAGTAGCATGTGTTGACACATAATAGTTCAAAATGCAATTTTTCCTTCTTTTTACACTGTTTTTACATTATCTTCATTGTTATTCGATATGGTTGTAATATTTAAGTTTCTACTTCATCCCCATTTGTAAATTGTATCCCCACTCCCCTAATGATGTAATAGCTTAGGATTTTAATTTCCGCAATTTACCGCTTTAATATACATTGTTAGTAATTAGGGTGTGTATGGCAAGATAAAATTAACCGCTAGAAAACCCTAATCTCAAAGACAAAAATGCATGCAATCAAACACACTGCACACGTACACCTCTAGGGTAACCTCACTTGTTTCCTCGGAAAATGCTCATGTCCCTCGAATATGAGCATTTTAGCAAAGACCCTCGATAAAAAAAGATCGTAGTCCCTCGATATCCCTCGATGTTGCCTTCGGTAAACGATCTAGTCCCTTACAGAAATTGCTAAAACGTCTCATAAGTTGCCTTTTATGACTATACGATTGACCCACGCTTGTCCCTTCACATCAAATGATGGGGCTTCTTACCAATTAATGGTAAGATAGCAACATCTAAAGGAGGAACAAAAGAACAAAGACCTTTTGAGTAGGTAGGATGCTCGCAGTTGCTTGCTCATCAAACTAAAACCATTTTCACACTCACACTTTCAAAACACCTTCAAAAAACAAACATCTCTTTGAACTATTTTCAAAACCAACACTTTGTATGCATTCTTATAGAGACGAGAATCATTACAAAATTTTCCGCAACCAAGGCGTTTTCAAAATATTTTCAAACTTGAACACCACAAACACATTTCAAACAAAGCATTTTCAAAGTGATCTAGTAAGAAACTAAGAGCCCGTAGATAAATACGGATGAAAATGGTGCTAACACCTTCCCTTTTCATAACCTACCCCCTGAACCAAGAAAATATCTCAAAAGGTCTTTCCTGTTCTTTTCACCCTTTCCTTTATTGGATAAAAGAAAATTCGATGGCGACTCTTGCTATCCATAAAATTTGCGATAAAACGTAAAACACCCAAGTCTGTTCTCCCACCGTATGATAAGTACTATTTGTAACGACTCTTTTTCAAATATCCAATGACTTTATTTTGCTTGGCTTTATAAGAAAAGAATCATATGTTCAAAAATGTTATTGGTGTTCAATGTTAAAATTGAAAGTTGTCATTTTTGGAACACAACCAAAAAGCTATCAACCACTATAACAACAAGAACAACAGTTATGTTGAACATGTTGAATCTAACCAAATAAGATGAAGAAGAAGAATTCTACAAGATGTTATTCAAACTACCAATCATATACATCTTGGCAGAATTATTAAAAGCAAGGAGTTGTTACTCATATCTTGCTTAATGAAGAAAGAAGATGAAGAATTCTACAAGATATCATTCAAACTATCAATCATATACATCTTGACAAAATTATGAAAAAGCAAGGATTTGTTGCTCATAGCTTGCTCAACAATAAAGATGAAGACAAGAAGACTACAAGATACTGGACTTAACTTAGATTATATTCATCTTTGTAGACATATGTAAAACACAAGAGTTGTTGCTCAGATTGTGTTATTTATTAAGATCTTCATGTAAATTGTTTGTACATAAGAGTTGTTGCTCAGAAATTATGTCAAACAATATGTACTTAAATTAAGAGTAATTTGCTTGATAAGAAGCACTCATGTAATCTTTAGAAAAAATTTTGTTTAGAATTTGTCGGTTCCTCAAGTGATTGAGTGAAGATCAGAAGACTTGAGAAGACTTTGGTTGCGGTCATCATAGATGAAATCCTGGTAGTGGATTATATTGGGTCAATGGTAGTCATATCTCAAAGGGGACTGACTGAAGGTCAGCCTTCTGAGATCACTGATGGATATCATTAGAAGGAAATTCTGATAAAAGATTCTGAAGAATCATATTCTGTTTGGTCAATGAATGTTATATCCGATTTGGATCCCTGAACGCATCATTGGATGTTAGTCGCTGGTGATTGCCCGTGCGACTGTAATCAGATTGGTTATAGTGGATTAAGTCCTTGAGTTCAAGGCGAAATCACCTTGGTAGGGTGGACTGGACTAGCTTGGGGGTTTCTCAAGTGAATCAGGATATATCGCATGTTCTTTACTTTTGCTTATGCTTTAAAATTTATGTTTTCTTAACTTAATTAGAAGCATTACTTAGAAGTAACACTCAGAAGCATTGTTCAATGAATAATGCTTAGAAGCGAAAGTTATTCAACAAAGGAAAATCCTATTCAACCCCCCCCCCCCCCCCCCCCTTTCTTGCGTTTTCTTCACACCTTCAATGTGAAGCCATTCAAGCAGATATTCACGAGCAGTAAACCGTTGTTCTTTTGTAAATTGTTGACCAACATTTATCTCGACATCAACCGATCTAACACACGACTTATCATCATCAGTCACCTCATCCGATTTAACATCTTCCTTCACTTCATCAGGTTTTATAATTACTTAAAACAATTTTGACAAACATATCCAGGTGCACCATATCTAATACAAATTAAAATAGAAAAACAGTTAAAAAAATTACACTACCAGACAAATTCAAAGACGTGTCTCCGAAATATATATCAAGTGAATTCGGAGATGCATCTCCAGACTCAACATTCATTTTTTCAGCTCAAGCAACGATGTAAGAAATGAATCAACTTTATCTTAAATTGCAGGTTCTTTTGCTCTCTTTGTTGTGATAAAGCACAAAAATGATGATTTGGAATCGAAAAGTTGGTTGAAAATGATTTTTTCAAGGGTTTTGGTTTACGTAGGAGGTATGAAATATGAGAGTGATGATCATGCAAGATAGTGATATGCTCCGAAAATGACATTTTTTGGAGATGCTTCTCTGAAAAAATGACAATTTCAGAAGTGTATCTTCGAAAATATCAATGAATAATTAAATAATAAATCTCAATGAGAAACACTTGGTAAATGGGTTGAGTGGTGTTTTTAGATATACATATTTAAACTAAATTTTAACATAAAATAGAGTGATTGTTTGATTTACAAAGAATGAGATGATATATATAATTCGTCTCGAGATGCATTTCGAAAAATTCTTAAAGAAATTTTGAATTTCAGAAATGTCACCTACATCATCGTAAAAATTTATATTTTTATAACACAAATATATTTTGAGATCCTTTAAAATTAGAGACTATACAGCGGGTCTGCTTGCATACCAATAGAGTCTGCCCTTACGATAACCTGTAAGTATATGTTAGGTGGATTTTTTTAGAGAGAGTTAATGTATCAAGTATTTAACCCTGGCTAATAACAAATTAACTATGTTGTTATTCCTATTTCGTGAAATAAACTTAATAGGCAGGCCTGCTTATCGAAAATTGCGATGAAAAAACATATCAAGTGTTGGTCAAATGAAAACAATTTGTTCCTCTTTATGAGGACGTGGCTTTGAAACCTTGTGACCTACGAAACAAAGAAAAATCATGTTCAATTAACTAAAACCAAGATTGAATCCAAAAAAAAAAAAAACTAAAACCTAGATTAGTCTTATACTAGTCACCGAAAGAAATTGAACTTACCAAGATACTACTCTAGTAGATTTTCTGGAATTTTTATTTATTTATAAAAGATAATAAAACATCTAAAAAAAATTAAAACACAAAAAGTTGGAGACTATACCAAAATCCATTCAAAAATATATAAATATATAAAATTAAAAAAAGTAAATCAAAATTATTTTTTACATAATAACTTTTAATTTCAACAGGAAGAAAATCAAAAGGAGTGAAAGAAATAGATATACGATTTAGATTAACAAAAAAATTCAAACAACTATTTTTTTCTCTATAAATATGAGAAATAAGAAAATTTATATCTATAACGGCTACCGTGTATTTCAAAATATATATATTTATCATATTTAATTTCCTCTTTAACAAAAATATAATAAATATATAATTTTCTCTTATACATATGCAATTTTCTCATATTTTTACTTTCTAAATTCAAATTTTCATTGAAAATATTAAAAATTAAATCAAAGAAATTATATATAAGTTTTATCCTTAAAATAATTATATAATATCTAATATTATTTATTCATAAGATGTGTTTATTTTAAGGTTGTAAAAAATATTTCAAAGAATATGGTCATGGGAATACAACATTCTCATGTTTGATTCAAATTTAAAAAAATTATTTCAAAGCCATATTTTTATTCTCATGGTTAGAGGATGAAAATCCAACATTCTCATAGGAATAAATTCAACTGCTTCTCACTTCTACTTACAAGTTATTACTATTTAGAAATCGATGAACAATCCTAATAACAATAACAATATGGCTGTAACCGTAAGCACACTCCAAATGAACACCAAATGTATCAAACATATTTCAGTGCCCACGATTCAATAACTTGACGAGCATCAAACATTACATTTAAACTAAATACAAACCAACACCATATAGAGCTGAGAAATTTTGGCCATGTAACCTATCATCTACAGAGGGGCAAAAATAAAATAAAAAAAACTATGCTCTAAAACTTTTTCTGTGACTCCTCCTATACCACCCTTATGTACACCAATATATAAGGGAAAGGTAGAATACATCTTCACACTCATACATGATCAAAATCTGATATCTTGTATGTGACTAATGTGCTTCTTGTCGATATGGATCAATCCAACATTGGTCCTTGTTTGCTGCATCCTTCCATCTCTTGCCAAATATCTGCATTTCAATGTATGACTGCATCCTCACCTACAATCATGTACTACAATATTAATTACTTTCTTATAGGATAAGCTGCAATTACGCGTTTAAATACATCATAAACATACTTACTTTAGGTCTATGGGAATTTGCCCAAGTCTGCAAACCAAAACACAAATCGTTCGTTAATTAATAGTTTAGACTGGGAGGGTAATTTAAATCACAGAAACCAAATGAAATCACTTGCCGCATTGCCATCAGATCCCCCAAGAGTGGGAAGGCCAAGATGAACTATGTACTCAGCATCCACCACACCGATGTTTCTCATTCGATCACCCTGCAATATCGTTCAGATATGAATAACCATACTGGAAGGATTTAGATATACATATACATAGGCCATGAATAGAATGTTACCTGTGCACAGTAACCGAACTGTTTATCCAATCCCCAGGCATGGATTAAGTCATTCTGCAGACATAAACATGATTAAAGAATTGACTAGCCTGTTTTTTTGTACTAGTGTTAAGTGACAATGACTTCTTCTCAAGTACATAATGTTAAGTGTTACTACTTGTTAACAACCTCACTTGAATGACCAAAAAAGGATGAAAATTTTCAAATATTTTCACAATGTGTATGGTTTGTTTGTACTAAGATACCTGAATCATATGCCATACACATGGCCAAGATTTTTTAGAAAACACCGGTGCCATCATTTCCACCCACCTGCAAAACAGGTACGTTTACATATTAGATTAAAAGTACTATTCGACTGTCACAAATGATTTAATGAATCACACAGCATAGCGCAGATTAAAAGTACTATTCGACTGTCACAAATGATTTAATGAATCACACAGCATAGCGCAACTTCTTACCCTAAGCAAGGAGGAGCAGTGCTACTGTCGTCACACCTTCCGTTACCGTTGAACTTATAGTACCTTCTGTACACAGACATCATAATACCAACAGTAAATTTTATCGACTGTTTGCAAAATATAAAAATAACTACTCAAAATCCAAGGCAACATGTAGGAAGGAGTATACAATCCCAGAAACAAAAATGAAAAGTTTTGGTACATATACATGGTAGAGACCGTGTGAGTGTGTGTGCACATATATTCTAAACTATAACTGCATTGGTTATATAATAATAAGGATGTAGATGTTAACCTGTGCACTTTGGATCCTTCTATACGAGCTGTTAGTTGATGATAGATTTCTGATTTACTAGGGTCAAGTGCAGGCTGTGATATCTCTAGCCCTTCTTCTTTAACAATAGATATATACCTAACCGTATAACCAACATATCAAAACAATGGATTCTTCTTGCCACAAGTGATTCATCTCAGCAACAGCGTGAAATTCTTTAACCAAAAAAGTAATAATTGAGGAGTGGCTTACCTTTTGGGGTCAAAATTATCGACAAGAAGGTCCTCATCCCAGAGGAATATATAATTGTAGTCAGCAACAATGTCTGGATGTAAAAATCGTTTTGCAAACCACCTATGGCGTGATAGAGAGAATAAAGTGGTTCAATAGTTAGAGATGATAACAGGACAGGTAGAGGGTAAAGAGCATATTATACCATTTAGTTTGATGTATAGCAGAGACGTGTATGGCTTGGCTACTCCAAGCTAAATCCTTCCATCCATCGACCAAACCATCATAATGAAAAAGCATGACAACAAAATCAGTTGAAGGGAACTGGCAGCAGAGATAAGAGTCAGCATATATGAGTTTGAGATCAAAGTGATATTATACAAGTGAAGCAAGAGTGACCTTTTTGACGATTTTATCAACAACTTGTTTCTGTTTAATTCCTACTGGAATAGCCAACAAATTCAATGGGCGGGTTGAAATTCTCTGAAAAGAAAAGTAAGAATCAAAATCTAGATTGGATTGGTGGCAATGATTAGAAATGAGCATACATTGTTTGGAGGAGCAGAGGCCCATAAGGGCCTTGTTTCCAAGTCAGATGTTGTAGCAACAATTCCTCGAGGCAAGGAGTGAGTTCCAGAAGGAGGATAGCATTGTGTCTAGAAAAGGGAAAAGAGAATGGAAATGAAGAGGTAATTGGATTAGAAGCAAATAGAAATGGTAAAAATAGAGAAAATAAGAAACCTTGCATGCATTGGATTTTGTAGTGGGTGTTGAATAAATTAGTCCCCATCTGGTAAATCTCTGGGAGGAAAATAGTATAGAATTATATATAGACAAGAAAAGAGTATGAAAAGTTGGGGGGAGAGAACATACCTTTGCAGATAAAGCATTACCAAGAAAATAAGCAGCGCAAACCAAAGAGATTAGAACAAGGATGGTCCATAGGAAGAACCTATTCTTTGGATCCTGAAAATTCAAAGACATGAATGATCGATCATAGCGGTTAGTTAAAAAGTGAATTGTGTCAGAACTTACGGTTACAGAATCGAAACCCTTCATTTTATTGAGTTGATTGAAGAAGAAGAAGAAAGGGTTGCAGGTATTGTTTTATTGGATAATAATGATAGGAGAATAAGAATAAGAATAAGTAGAAAGTTGAAAGAAAAGAAAGGAACAGAACAGAAGAGAAGAGAACCGAGTAAAGAAAGGTAGGAGTGGACTAACGCTACAAGTTTTCTATTTCTTTCCTTTCAAATAAATAAACAAACAAAGATCGTGATACTTGCTTACTCGATAAAACAGGAACATCATCGTACTCCACTACCGTCCAAACCCATTCCATCCCAATACAAACATACAATAAATTGTCAATAACGGAAATATATGTTTCAATTTAACATTTTTACGCACATATTCATTCCGTAACTATTTTTAAATAATTTTTTTTTAATTTATTAAATATATTTAAAAAATAAAATTTTCTTATAAATCATTATATTAGAGTATATTAGGAAAGATAACAAAATGGTCAAAAAAAACATTACTTTTCCTAGAATCTCCTTCTATTTTAAATATTGTGTCATTTCAAATTTTAACAAAATTATTCTAAATTATAAAAAAAATTACTATGTTAAATTTATTAATTATTAATACATTTTCTATTATTATAGATATAAAATATATGAGAAAAAAGATGATGTACGAAAAGTTGTAAATTTTTTTTACTCTCTCGATCAATCATGCTAAATTCGACTGCAATTTTTAAAAAGAATAATATTACTGTATAGTAAAAATCATTTGAATAAAAAAGATAATAATGTATAATTATCATTGTTGTAGAGGATAATTTAAAATTTATTTTAAATTTAATTTCTTTTTTAACAGAGATCATAGAGATAGTAATAATAATGAATAGTTGAGATTTAATTCTTATTTTTTTTATTTTCATACTTTCTTATTAATAAATATTTTCTTTTTAAAAAATATATAATATGACAAAAATAATATTTAATAACGATCTGTACATCTCCTTTAAACTCAAAATATATTGAAAATGGTACACATAACATTATTTATATCACACAATTAAAACTAAATGTATTAACTATATATTAAAAGTCAAATAATATTTATTTTAAATTTATTTATTTTATTAAAGTATCATTCGTCGTTGGAATAAGTATTGTGACCTTGATAAAAATAAATTTGAAGAGTCAATATTTTAAATATTTTTTTGGTAGAAAAATATTGTAACTATTTATTTTTGTAAAATAAGTTATCTTATATGCATAGTTCTAACAGGTCAAAACAACACGCTAACCTAAAAATTAAAGGGTAATGCTAATTTGTGCTAAATAAAATGTTTCTATTTGATACAAAAAATTTGTGTTTAAAATTGTAAATTGATTCTATTAAAATTTTACAATTGATTTTATTTTATTTTTCAACACAAACATTTCATTTACATTTTCTTATAATGTATTCTTGAAGCACAAGTTAACATTACTCAACGTTAAATATGAATTATTAATAATTAATAACTAATAATTAATAGTTGATGAGTAATATTTTATAATTAATTATTGACAATTAATTGAAATTTTTGGTAAATTACCTGCTCATCTGGTTTTTTAAATATAAAATAATATAAAATAACATCCTTAATTAATGATTTAATTAATTTGTTATCTTTCATATATTGTTATTAAATTAACTTTTATTTGAAAAAAAAATTAAATGTATAATAAATATATGTAAAATATATTAAATAAATATGTGAAAAATTAAACATAATTGAAAGAAGTGGTTAACAACTTCTATTGAAAATCTTTTCAAACTTAACTATAACTGGAATAAAATTAACGTCTCTTTCTCTAGTTTGAAGGATTCATATATAGAGATGCTTAATGCTTCTATGAAAGATGACAAAGTGAAACATGCGTTATTTTTTATGAAACCATGAAAGATGTCTGACCCAGACGGATTTTCAGCTGGCTTCTACTAGAAATCATGGAATGTGGTTGAAAAAAGTGTGTGTTCCTTTGTGAAGAATGTCTGGAGCAATCCAGGGAGCATTACAAATGTTAATAAAACTAATATTTGTTTGATCTCAAAGGTTGATCATCTCTAAACAGTTGGCCAATTTCGACCTATCTCGCTATGCCGCACGATCTACAAAGTTGTTAGTAAGGTCATAGTTGAAAGACTGAAGGTTTGTATGGCAGATTCAGTTTCCCTTTATCAAACGGGGTTTGTGTTTAGTAGATAAATACATGAGAACATCATTATTGCAAAGAAGGCCATGACCACAATGCATAATAAGAAGGGCAATCCATTAAAATTGATCTTTCTAAGGCTTGTGATAAGCTTAGTTGGGATTTTATTGCACGTGTTTTGAGTGAAGTAAAGATTCCTCTAAATATGTTGGATGTTATCATGCATTCTATGAGCAGTATTGAAATAAATGTCATGTGGAATGGAGCGAGAAGTGAGTTTTATAGACCTCAACGAGGTATCCTCCAGGGTGATCCTATTTTCCCATAGCTCTTTGTGTTATGCATGGATAAGCTTTCTCATCTTATTGAGCAATACGTGATGGACAATAAGTGGAAAGGTATTAAAATGGGAAAGCATAGGCCTAGCATTTCCCGTCTTATATTTGACGACTTATTGTTGTTTGGAGAAACTATGGAAAATCAAATGAGGCGTATCATGAAAACTCTTTGTAAGTTCTGTTATTTGTCTAGTCAGGAGGTCGGCAACGAAAAGACGGGTATGATGTTCTCTAAGAATGTGGCGAGAAGCTTGAGAGTGAAGTTGTCTCAGATTTTAGGTTTTTAGAGAAAATAATCATTTTAGGAAATGTTGTGGGGTTCCTCTAAGTGGAAAAAACATTAAGCATATTGATTACCAGTATTTGGTGGATCAAATCTCGACGAGGCTTGCGAGCTGGAAAATTAATCTTTTGTCTTTTACAGGTAGGGTAACCTTGGTGAAAAAGCGTTATTGAGGCGATTCCTATCTATCCCATGATGACGAATAGGGGTGTTCATTGGTTTTGGAAAATCAAAACCAAACTGGAATCCAAACAAAACCAATGTGTTTGGGTCAAATATTTTTTTTTAGCTTGAGTAAAAACAAAATCAAACCAATGAAATTCGATGTTAATTGGTTCAGGCAACGAATTTAAAAAATGCTGTCCGCGAGCCCGTCTAACTGAACCAAGTATTTTAATTCATAAAATTTATATCATCGTTATAATGAAAACTAGTATAAAATATTCAACTTCAAGAAGAAAAAAATGAAACTTCATTTGTGACATTCATAACCTATATTGAGAAATGAAAAAACGGAAAAAAAATTGTCTATCATATAAGAACTTTAAGAATTATTTCTCTCTCTCGTCTGCTTTTCTCTTTCTCTTTCTCTCAGTCGACCGTGTCTTCTTACTCATGATTGCCTGATTATATATATATATATATATATATATATATATATATATATATATATATATATATATATATATATATATATATATATATATTTATTTATTTATTAAATTATTGCAACCTTGAAAAAACGTTGAACAAATTATAGTGTTCACAATGCATAGACCAAATCATTAATAACAGAGGAGGTGAATATGGTTTTATAAACAGTAAGAAACAAGTTATAAAAACAGTGGAATGAATAGTTATTTTCTCAATCACAATTCTGTTGGAAAAAAAAGTCTTCATCTATTGATAATACATTATTGTTTCTTCTCATATATATATATATATATATATATATATATATATATATATATATATATATATATATATATATATATAAGAGTAAAACCAAACGATTTTAAAGTTTTAATGAATAAAATCAGCCAGATTTACTATTTTATAAATTGAAATTTATATTTATATAAAAAATATATATTATTATTTTAAATATTATATATATATATATATATATATATATATATATATATATATATATATATATATATATATATATATATATATATCCAAAAATATTTATTATATGACGTCTAGTCAATATTAGATTATAATTGATTCTACCATTTATATCAAGAAGAGGCACATTGTGGAACTCTCCACACTCATCAATAATAGATTCAATATCATAAGCCAAATTGTATAAAATGATATTAGGTTGAATGATAGACATAATTCTTTGGGACTATTTGAGCTTTTATGAAAAAGAAGAAGCAGAAGAAAAAGAATAAAAAGAAGTAAAAAAAATAAATTAATTCCTAAATCAAATTATCAGACAGAGAATGAGTAAAACCAAACGGTTTTAAAGTTTTAATGAATAAAATCAATCAATTATACTGTTTTATAAATTGAAATCTACTTTTACAAAAATTTATATATTATTAATTCAAATATATTTTATATATTACAGACATATATATTAATCCAAATATATATGTTTGAAATAGTAGTGCAAAAGTAACCGGATGAAAGTAAGAATAAAACATTTTAGCATAATTTTGGTTCCAAGAGGAAAATTCATGACAGCAAATTATCTATTACAAAAATGGCTCAGATGAAAAGTTCAAACTTAACATGAGAACCACCTTAAGCTTTTGGCAGATGTATATAATTCTCACAATGCTGCCTACATCATCGTTTGAGAATCCATAAAGCCTCGCAGGACCAGATTGGGATTTATGTGCCAAAGGTGTAGGATCATTCCACTACCAACATCACTTTTTGCTATCATTGGAAAAACAATCAGAGATACTTTGGAAGTGGATGTAAGTAGTCTGCAAGAACAAATGCAAACTTCATTACAAGAAAAGGCATGGAAAAGGCACATTATTATGAAAGAGAAATGAATTCAAATCTATGAACTCTTACATTAACATGTGACATCCCAAGAAGCAATATTTTTGGACAGTGTTTTAGGGGATAATCCAGGATTGACCAAACAACAGGCATGACCCTTCTCAGCTAGCTGGCATAGGACATCCAAAAGGTCAATACAAAGCCACGCATGATTTGCATGTCCATTTTGAAGCATGTCGCCATGAATTGAATCAG